CAGTAGGTGCGTGCTACCGACGAGTCCCAAACTAGGATGAAACAGCTGTCCAGTACTTCCTGGTTTTCAATGGTTCACTAACTGATAACAATCTGTGATCTAGCTCGAAAAACAAATCAAATACTTACAAATCAACTCTTGAAAATTTTTTATTTCTGTTCATCTGAGATTCGTGTACATATATATATATATAATTTTCACATTTGGTGATATTTCGGAAGCCTGAAACTAGGACGAAACTGCTATACAGTGCTTACCAGGAATTTCAATGACTCTTTAACCGATGTCAGTTTGTGACGAAATGAAGACTTAGATTGATCAGAATACCTGGATAATCCAAAGTCTGGAAAATTGTGTGATATTTCTCCTTTATATTCTATCCCACTATGAATGGAGAAATTATAGTTAGGGGGTTGTTAGTCACTTAGTACTTATCCTTGGTAATTTATCTTCACTAGAAGAGGAATTAGCAGAAGCCCAGTGATGTACTGTAGTTGCGATTTAAACTGTGCGTCGGTGGCACAGCGGTTAGAACTCTCGCCGACAATGCACATGGTCCGAGATTCGATCCCCTGCTGACGCACATCTGATATCTATGGTCAGCCTGCAAAATTTGGGCTACCGGTATCCATGCTGAAAATTGCATACTTGTACCAAAAATACAGTGAGGAATCAAGCTATATTCAAAAATAAATAAAAAAGTTTTCATTTTCTGTCCTTGCTACTTATTAGTAACTGATTTTTTGAAACTATGTTTTCTAAAATTATTTTTCGTCAACTGCTGCTGATGATGTAAGTTATTACAAATCGAACTTGCGGCGCTTCCGTCCCTGTGTAGTTGTATAGGTAGGACGTAGGCGGACAGTTGCAAATTGAATTTCCTTGGGTAGTTAACCTTGTTCCTCAACATCGGCTGCCTGGCTCTACACTAATATATAGTTATTTACATCGAAATGTTTTACCAGTCAAGTGGTCATTTTAGTTAATCAGTTTTAGGTAGAGGGTGGGGTGGAGTGAAATGAAGAGGTTTAAAGTCATTAAAACAACACACAAATAGATGTCAGCAACAAGATATCTAGGTTTTGAAGGAGAGGTGAAAATTAATTAATCACGGAATTCGAGATAAGTTGATTCTTGGGCGTTAGCAGCCAGTTATTACATAATAGAGAAATTTGTGAAACGGGGATGATGACTAAGAAGAATGGGATGGGTTATAATACAACAAATATCACCCAGCCTCTTGCATGGTCTACGAATTCGACTTTAATATACAGTAGAGGCATTCAGGTGCGTCGGTGGCATAGCAGTTAGGACGCCCGCCGACCATGCATATGGTCCGGGTTTCGATCCCCGGCCACAGACGCATTCCTTTACCTCGCTAAGCCAGAAATAATGCTGGTAAAGAGGGAAAATTGGGCATGGAGCTAGCAACTCTATCCGGTAAAATTAAACACTTCTACAGAAACTTCAAGCCACTAGCTTGAAGCCCTGTGTTCCACTGGGGAACGTGACGAAAGAAAAAAAGAGGCTATCTGAAATCATCTGAATAAGTCAAATAATTGTGTGCAAAAGAAATTTGTACAGCCCCTTTCTTTGCCATGGCCACCCACTACACAATATGTATTAAATTTTTAAAACGATTTTCCCCTCCCCTTGTAAATATCTCTGAACTTTATCTCATTACTTTTACAACTCTAGCTAACTCTGTTAACCTTTTGACCACAGGATTTCATTAGGAGCTGACACAGGTTAGAGAACCATTCGAAAACCTAGGAGTACTGGACAGCTCTTTCGTCCTAGTCTGGGACTCCTCAGCAGCACGCACCCACCGTCAGATTTCGAACCTAGGAAATTCTGGTTGCAAAGCGAGCTCGTATAGCAATAAGCCACTGAGACCCGTTTCAATGGCCCACGAATTCTAACTTCTGCCAATTCACGACATAGCGCGACCCCTAGCCGACGTCTTCGGCGATTATCTGTCCTCAGACCCGACCTGCTGCACCCTACTGGTCACGGCTTCTCACTAGAACCGCAGGTAACTACCTACCTGGGAGCCCTCCCAGGTTTTCCAATAGTTCTCTAACCAATGTCAGCTCATGATGAAATCCTGTGACTAATCAAATCCCTACAAACCAACACTTTAATAACCTGTTTGAATTTTACGTAATTCTATCGAGTCATCCTATTCTTCTTAGTCATCATCCCCGTTTCACAAATTTCTCTATTATGTAATAACTTGCTACCAACGCCCAAGAATCAACTTATCTTGAATTCCGTGATTAATTAATTTTCACCCCTCCTTCAAAACCTAGATATCTTGTTGCTGACATCTATTAGTGTGTTGTTTTAATGACTTTAAACCTCTTAATTTCACCCCACCCCACCATCTATCTAAAATTGATTAACTGAAATAACCAATTGACTGGTAAAACATTTTGATGTAAATAACTATATATTAGTGTAGAGCGAGACAGCCGATGATATGGAACTAATTGAAAAGGAATGCATATTACTTCGCTCATTCTGTAGTCTTTTCAAAATGCGTAAACGGGAATTCGGAGGTTAATTTTGTATTAAATGACTAAAGAAATTCTACAATCATCGTATGATATGTTACGTTCTGGCTGTTTTTACACAACTGCAAAATCTATTGCACGGTTTGCTACACTATCCACGAAAATACCTCTAAATGGCATTTATACTAACCCTTAACCACTCAAATCTTTAATTCAATAATGCAGTAAAAATTATAACTTTTGTCTCTTATTGCTGCAAATGGCAATATTGACCATTGGATCGGGTCCCAGTGGCTCAATGGTCTACGAGCTCGCCTTGTAACCAGAAGGTCCTGGGTTCGAATCCCGGTGGGTGCGTACTGATGAAGAGTCTCAAACTAGGACGAAACATCTGTCCAGTACTCCCTGGTTTTCCAGTGGTTCTCTAACTGATGTCAGCTCATGATTAAATCCTCCATGCAATCAAACAAAATCCCTACAAAACCAATACTTGACAATTATAAATGTTTAATTTAATTCATTTTGTGCAGGTATCCAGCTGTTTTTCTGTTCATCCCTTTGCATTCCAAGTGAAAAGTAAAGCATTTAGCTTTTAAATTTCAGTAGTATTGGTGTGATTTTTTACGAACTGGGGTTGCCAGCCTCATGCCCAACCTTCTCTGGTTACCTGACTTACTATTGACTTAACGAGGTTTCATCGTCACACCATCCAGTAATAATACCCAAACAACATGAGTGCCTAGTAGGCATTCAACCATTGAGCTACCAACACACTTGATATTCAGCTATAGTTAAACTGAATTATATTTTCTTGTCACTTTACCTGAATGGTGAATCCTGTTGATTTTGTCGATAGATTGTGGTGGCGACTATATAAAACCCGATATCACGCAGAAGCAGGCTTGTTCACTTAACATTTTTAACACTGATGTCAGGTTAGTCAGAGAATGGAAGCAGTACGGCAAGCACTTCCATCAGCCATCTATTATTATTATTATTATTGTTCCCTTGGGTTCCGCGTGAAACATAGGCCTTCAACAACACATCTCCACTCTCTTCTGTTTTCTGCCATCCACCTCAGCTGGTTCCACGATTGACCATAATCTCTCATTCCCTCCAACTAAAACGACCCCCTCCATGTCCCTGTCGCACCGATGACCCTCTCGTCACTTCCAATCAAGATTTCACTCGAGTTATGGCCTGCACCTCATGTAATGTCATTCAACGGTCTCCTCAACGTATTTCCTATCCATCTCCATTTTCTCCCACAAATTTGTTAAGCAACTGACTCTCCCTGTTGGTTTGTTCCCAACCAGCCAACCAGAGTTTCTTGTTGCTAATTCCTTCTGGCCGGCCAGCTGGATGGCCATTTGATCTTCAGTATGGAACCAGTTACCGAATTGGGAAGCTGTTGATGAAAGTCTGTGACCTATTGGAAACGCCTTTTGTGACGCGCTTACCAATTTTCTACCCCATATAGGAGAACTGACCGACTTGACATTGGTGCTGGAAATCCGAATCTTGTTCCGTATGTTGAGTGTGGAAGATTTCCAAACTGGTTTCAGGTTGATGAAGGTGTATCTTACCTTTCCAACTCTGGCTGGCTGACTCGTTCTGTCGTCTTCATCCGTTCCAACTGCCTATGGTTGAAACGATGCTCACTGCCTAGACAAGTGAAGGCAGGAAGTAACCTCTGTTAAATGTCTCCCACTGATTGTGACTGGTGCTGGTTGTTTTTGCACTTCGTTGGTTGGTTATCTTCATCACCTCCGTCTTCTCTATGTTCACTTGTTATCCTGTCATTACTGTCCCTTCAGCCATCTGTAGATCCTCATCAATAGCTATCTTCAAACCTGACTGAAGATCAAGTCTCCGGAGAGAAGGGTTAGGCAACAAAGAAGTCTACAATATGGTGAACCAGTTAAGAACCTATCACCCAACAAATATGCAGACGGAAATGGAGATGGACTGGACATGTGCTTAGAAGACTGTTGAATAAAATCACGCGCTGGACAGGCCCTTGATGAGGGAACTCTGATAAAACAAAAACGAGTTTGGCATAGGAATTCTGAGTGTAAAATGGAAGAAATCGTGTGAAGAGGAAATGGAAGTTCAAGTACAGTCGTGGAGCTAACTTAAAACGACTTCAGAAAATAGAGTGAAATGCAGATGTACTACTGAAACTTATCTTCTCCTCTGAACCCAAGTAAATAATAATGAACACCATTCTGTAAGAATCAGTTGAAATTCTGAAATATCCTGCAAATGAGTAATCACAGTCTCAAACTCATCTCTTTGAAGGTCTTTTAATTAAATTATTCAGTCACTACATACATCTACTTACTTCTTAAGCTGCCATTTCATTTAAGAACTTTTTGTTGAAGAAATTCAGTGGATTTCAACTAGAATTAACCTGACTACTTAAATGACTCTTTGTTAAACTAAATCTTTCTTTGTTTTCTTTTCTCACATTTTCTATCACAGATTTTCAATGGATTTAATATCTGATTATCTAGCCATTGATCCAGGTAGTTTTAATGATCAAAATAGAACAGATGAATCAGAATTACCGATAGTTGAAACTCAACCATTACAGATATCAATTGAAACTACAGGCAGTTGGGATATTAATGCAAATTCACCAGAGACAAGTACCACATCACACGGGAGTTCAGCTAAACGATTCGGTTTTCGAGTTGATGAGGATTTTGTTTGTAGAGTTGTTATTAAAACAGAGTATTATGTGGTAAGTTCATCACTGTTCATTAGGTTTTGAAGTAAAATGTATTTGTGATATTTTAACACATTAGTCTTCCTTTACGACTAGATATATTTGAAACTGATTGCCAGGGCAATAGTGAGTGATGTTGTTTCGAAATCCCTACCAACAGTGAAGCATACATATATCTAAGGATTTTCCGATGCTTGACTCAGAAATTGAGCAACTTCCTCTTATTCTTTTTTCAGTGGACACCTTTCAAATGTGATTTATTAGTCCAAAAACTCTCTTCTCATAGGAACTTGAACATCTGTATAGCTGATGAAGTCTATCTGGCGTTTGATGTGTTCGTCTGGTGAAACCCAAGTCACCTTGTGTTTATCCTTGTGTGTTAACACGCTGGCTTCAATCGTCAAATCCCTAAATGCCAAGAAGTTTGTTCTACGTTATTATTCATTTCACCAAGCACCTCTCAACCATGATAAGTTCTCTTCCTGCGTTACCTGTTGCTTTTTCTGCTGGCATTCATATCGCACTTTAGGATTTTGATGTAACATCTGCTTGTGACCTTGTCTATTATTGTTCCCAATTGTCCATAGAACTCCACTTTCTCCTCCAATGAGTCTACGTTGCTTGTATTTGCGTAGCACAGTATGAATGCAGCTGTCCTTCTTTAGCGTTGAATTCTGTTATCGTGATGCTGAAGGAGATTGGTACCTCATTGCATTGGAGCCCTCTATGCTGTAGGTCACAATATGATGACCATAAACTCAGTGAACTTGTGGTTTTCGTTCGGGTGATCAGGGTTTACTATTGATTCTCATGAGGCTTTGGTTCTATTCCATTTATTCTCACGGACTCCTAGAACTTCTGTACAATATCTTCTAACTTCTTTTGCTATCTGAGCAGTCTGAGTATGGATATTTCAAGTCTCCAGGTTTACTTTTGCTTTCATCGAAGGAAGATATATCCATTGATTAGCTTCCTGAAGATTTTCACCCATCAGCAGTATTCTTCCGCTCCAACTTTAGGGGAGAATGAGTTTGTTTATTCTGTGTTTTAAGGATTCACTAGCGGTGCGGCTGTTTTTTAAGAGGTGCTCCATACTGAAGATCAAATGGCCAGCCAACCGGCCGGTCAGAAAGAATTAGAAACAAGAAACTTTGGCTGGCTAGCTGGGAACAAATCAACAGGCCAGACCCGATCGCTCAACAAATATGTAGGAGGAAATGGAGAGAGATCGAGCATACTTTTAGGAGGCCGTCGAACGATATCGCGCAACAGGCATACCTTCGAGTGGAATCCCAATGGGAAGCGATCAATGAGTCGTCAATGTGAGGGTGACATGGAGGAGAACGTGTAGTGAGTCGGAGGGGATTAGAAATTATGGTCAGTCGTGGACCCAGGTGAAGAGGATGACAGAAAATAAAAGAGATTGTGTTGTTGAAGTCCTATATTCATCTCGGAACCCAAGCTAACAGTAATTATAATAAAGTAGACTGTTGGGGAGGATTACAAGCTTCTCAAACTGTCGAGTTGAACCCGAATGACAGATGACAAGTTGGGCATCCGAGGATGGCATCAAGGAGAAGTGTAGGCAGAAAATGAAAGCTTATGGGCTACTGTCGAGCCAGCTAAAAGCAGACTGCATAGAAATGGACAATAGCAAGAACGTAAAGTTCAGACCCATCGCCATCACTTCCCCGTTTCTAAAGCTCATGGAAAAACTAGTACTTCTTAAACATGAACCCTCCCTTAAAAGCTTTGAAGACCCCAAACAATTTGCCTATAGACAGAGTAGGGGCACTTTAGACGCTGCAGCCGTCTTTCACAACAGTATCGCCTCATCATTAGATAAAGGTGCCAAATACGTCCGCTGCACTTTTCTCGACTTCACTTCTGCTTTCGACTCTGTACCTAGATGTATCTTGCTAAATAAGCTCTCAATGACACAAACTTAGTCCTGAGTCACTAACTGGTTGCATTCCTACTTTTCAAACAGAATGCAGGATACCGTATACAAAGGCGAATCCTCCTCTGCTGTGCTCACTGAAGCTGGTGTCCCCCAAGGTGCTGTACTCTCCCCACTTCTCTTTTCTTTCTTCCTACTTGACTTACCATCTTAAAATGACATTAATTTTGTCTGATATGCTGACGACCTGACTGTATCTTTACCTGTCAAATGTCAAAGTGACTGCTCTAAACTAAATGGCTTTTTATCAGAAATCAGCCAGTGGTCCAAGGAAAATGGTCTTACCTTAAACGCCTCCGAATTCCAAACAGTCAGTTTCACCTTTAGGCATAAATCTGACCTAAACAAACTGGTTAGAACTCACGTGGTGTGCAATATAGATGGCAGTGAAGTATAAACCAAGTCGGAAATTAAATACCTAGGCGTCATTCTACCTGCTGATCTTTCCTGGTCGTCTCATATCTTGATGATTTCTAAGAAAATATTCCGTCTTACCTTCTACATCAAGAAGTTAAGACATTCTGGAATAGCCTAACCCACCCCTTACTCTTATGATTCGTTAACTCTCGCATCCTGCCTATTATTCTCTATTGATCCCCCTTAGTTTATCCAGGGCTAATGAAGAAGGACTACATCTTATCACGTAGGATGTTAAAGGTTGTCAGTAGGGTAAGCCACAGGGTGCCACTTAACCAGCTTGTTAATATTCTGGTCGACAGGCACATGGACACATGTGAAAAATGGGCTAAATCCATTCTATCTAACTCACACCACCCTCTTCATTCACAACTCTCCCCTTGTATCTCATCAGGCAGGAGCAGAAGCCTATATAGAAAACTATATGCTCCGACTAGCAAGTACAAAAACTCAACCATACCCTACTTAGCTTGTGTTCTGTGCGATAAACAAAGCATTAGGCGTGAAACTTATAACTTATTAAATAGTCAGTAGAACAATTGGATCTCGTCTTTACAACTCATTACATCATTTATAGGTACGACGTTTTCTTTCTTTTCCTTTTCTCTCTATCTCTTTTTTTGTTTTTATTATGTGCTGTTTTGTTTCTCTCTTCCCTACAAACTCTATTTAAAACATTCTACTTCGTTCTTTCACAGTGGTTAGGACTCTCGACGACCATGCACATGGTCCAGGGTTCGAGCCCACACCGGCGCACACCAGATATCTATGGTCGGCCTGTGAAATTTGGGCTACCGATATCCACGCTGAAAATTCCATAATTGTACCAAAAATACAGTGTGGAATCAAGCTGTAAATCAAAAATAGAAAAAATAAAATAAACTCTGTATATCTCGACCTTTTTGTTACCGCTTACGCCAGTAAATATGCTAGTAGTATCTACTTTTCTAACACCTTCAAACATTCTGTTCAATTTTGGCTTTGCTACCGATATGCCAATATGTTGTTGTCATAATGAACTGAGATTACCCTTAATCTATGTGGAATTTTATTTATTGATAATGTTTTTATGAGTTGATCACGGATTGATATCAATTAGAGAACCATTGGAAACCAGGGAGTACTGGACAGCTGCTGTTTCATCCTAGTTTGAGAATCATCGGAAGTACGCACCCAGAGGCTGAATGGTATACGAGCTTGCCTTGGGACCGGAAGCTCCTGGGTTCAAATCCCAGTGGGTGAGTACTGCCGATGATTCCCAGACTAGGCTGGTGAAACAGCAGCTGTCCAGTACTCCAGTGCTGGTTTTCAATGGTTCTCTAACTGATATCAATCCATGATCAACTCGTAAAAACATAACTAACTTTTACAAACCAAACTATATTAAATTATTGATAATGTACTAACTGGATGCAATACTGTAGTAAAATGCTGAGAATTCCATTCTGTATTACAAGTACTGTTTTGGAATAAAAGCAAATTATTATTATTATTAATATTAATAAAGTTGCTGAAACCCTATATTTCACTCAGAACCCAAGAGAATAATATATATATATAAACATTCCATTGATAACTCCTTATTGATCTTTTTCCTTTTTCTTTAGGTTTATTTGAATGATATGATGTTATCCAACTCTGAACATTTAGTCCCTGTTGGCTCGATAAATGGTTTCACAATTGACGGTGATTCAATCATTACAACTATACTATTCGGTGATTTAAGCGCTATACAAAAGTACAATTCAAAACATAACACAAAACTAATTCATTTAAATACACCAAAAATTATTGAATGTCGTCTAACATCCGATGAAGTATTAGCTACTGTATTACACAATGACAATGATGAATATTCAAAGATGGATGAAGATGGTAACAAGCATGAAGGTGATGGTGGTAAGACTGACGATGACGTGGAGAACTCCAATAAAATCAATAGTGGCGATGAAGTTGACTTCAATAACTGTCAGGAAATTCACTACACTAAGAAATCAACACTATTAGAACAGAATATTCAACAAGACCAAAAGAATCAACAGAAATATACAGAAGATATAAAGTCAAAAACAACGAATCAACACAACTGGACGTTTGCGAAAACTAACAACATTCAACATTTACAAGATTCAAATCATCTGACTAGAGCTTCTTCATACCAATTAGTATTTGATACAGATAGTGATACTAATGAAGAAGAAAATGGCGGAATCGATGAAGAGAACGGGATATCGTCTTCTTTGAAGACAGATATCAACTTAAGCCTATTCAAACAGATAAGGGCTAAAAGTATTCAGAATCTTTTCACTCAGCATGAAAATTTAGAGAATTTGCTTAGAATTATTCAAAAACACGAACAAATTAATGTCAGTGGTAGTTGTAACGCTGATACACTAGATCAATGTTCAATGGTTTCAATATCAAACAAATCATTACCAGAATATAGGGATTCCGCGGAAATGATGAATAGCTCGGGCCAGTTATCCAGAAATTACTCTTCATCACAACAGTTAGAACTAGTCAGAGAAGAGTATGAACTAAATGATAATATTGATGGAAATAACGGTAGAATTGACAAAACTCATAAGAATATTAATTTCAAAGAACAAGAGGCAACAGAACTACACGTTCTTAACGAAAGTAACTCGAAACGAACGTTACATCCTGTAGAACTCTTGTCTAATCTCGTAAAGTCAATAACCGAGTTAACCGAGGAGAAATCAGAAATAAGTGAAAACACCGGAATTGCATGTGAGAAACAAATTTTAAATATCGATTGTTTAAATAACCCACCACCAGAAGAAGAAAGCGCCTCTCCTAAATCAACAACATTTAAACAAGTAGATAGCGCGATAATTGAATCAAAGATACCTGTACTTCGAAATGGTCTATCTAATACATTAAATGATAATTCCAAAGACTTTAGAAGCAAGCCTTTCAAATCAGCTTGTAAAGGTAGATTCCAATCGCGTGAAACTCATTCTTATCCAGATTATTGTATGCCTTCAAAGTATACAAATACAACAAATAAACAATCAGTAATCGATTCTAGAATTCCGAAACCACGTTCAATTTCCAGTGGTGTTGTACATCAACAAAATAAACAACTAGTGAACGGTAAGGTCAATTGTCGTCCTACATCAAATTCAAAACCTTCCACTCCTCTCACCTCTCCTAGACACATATCAAACAAAACTTCAGTTAATTCAATAGTAAAATCAAAGATTAAAAATGGTTTAGGAGAAAACGCTGTCTATAAAAATGGAAATGATGAAAACCACTCAGTAGTGAATAAAAAATCCTCTAGAAATTCACCTAAAGATACTACACCAGTTAACGGATATAAATGTGGCAGAGAGATTAACAAAAGAAGATCTTTTGAACAGTCTCCAATCAAATCTGGATCATTGTCCCCATCATCTTGTTCATCGTTGTCATCATCAATGATTTCATCACCTTCGCCAACAAAACCATCAATAACCTCTGACAGATTTGAAAGTGATAAGGCAAAACCAAGAGAAGGACAAACAGCGCCAACAAACTCAACAACAACAAGTCCTTCACTGACAAATGGACATTCTAAACCATTAGAAAACCCGATATCAAATGACAATCTACAAAAAGTGATCTTAAATCAAACGAAAGTAAATCAACAGTGTAATTTAATTAGCCAATGGAATGTTACCTCCACTACTAAGTTAAAAGAAAGAGATCCAATTACCCTATCAAATGGATTACATAATCACCATAGCATACCGCTTTCACACCAACCATTATGTGAAAATAAGCATATTTTAAACAATGTAAATAATATCACATCCAATAATCATAACAGCAAAACAGACATATTAAAGAGCGATGTAAAACAAGACAAAGAATTGACAAATGAGCAGTCAGTATTCAATGTTCAATCTAATAATTATACAGATTGTTTAAATGATACTAAAAAGCAATCGAATGAAAATGGCGGTGGGAAGTCCAACCTAACGCCGGAAGTGGATGGAATTAAAAAAGATACAATGAACTGTTATGCAAAAATTACACAGAATGGTTTTACAAATGGTAACAATACTGATAATAGTGTCAGTAACCATGGTGACATTCAGTTAAATTTGAAAGAAAATGATTATTTAAATTCGCTGCCAGATAACAAATTACTCTCAACATCGATATCATTATCGCCGTCAGCATCATCCCAGTCAGCCACATCCTTATCAATGACTAGTCCATTAGATACGCTAACCACCTCCATGACGTCGATAACAACCGACTCGATAAAAAATGGTTTCCAACATGAAAAGATGAAAAATTCTACAAAGTTTATACAATCGCCAAAGAAATGGTTAACGCGTAAGTTGTCTATGTTGAAAAAGCATTAAACTACAGCATAAAATTGTCATATAACTTGTAAACACTACTTACATGCATACAAATGCTTCAAAACTCAAAAAGATGTTTATCGAATAACACAGTTAAACGACTTAAGCATTGGTATTTGGTTAAATGTGATATGTATACAAAAACAGTTACATTAAGTCTTTCATTATACGACTGTCTACTCATATCTGAGTACTCTTCAGTCAGTCATCTACTCATCTCCCTTCCCTCACCTCACTCTACTCCACTCCACTCCACTCTACTTTACACATATATGCATGCATAATTTAACAGTTTCCATATAAAAATCATCATGTTGAACGTTACTCAACGATGCGAAATTGTAAACATTCATTGCTTTCAGCCATTTTTTTATGCATGCCTCTAGGTTCTCATTTATTTTTAAGTTTAATAAAGTTGTCTTTACAATTGAATACGAATGCTGAATTAGATTTTGATATTTAGATGTATTAACAATCATAATATGTAGGCCAAACATATAGAAGATATTCTTGCCAATGATTGAGGTTTCGTATTTCTATGTGATGCTAAATAGCAACTTATTATACGTATTGTTATTATCATTCTCTTGGGTTCCGAGTAAAACATAACACGTCAACACCACACCTTCATATCATCCTGTTCACCGAAGTCGTTTTTAGCTGACTCTACAATTGCCCATCGGCTCTCATTTCCTCTTCACACGACTTCCTCCGTGTTAATAATAATAATAATAATAATTTTTCCTTCACGTTCCCAGTGGAACATAGGGCTCCAAGCTAGTGGCTTGAAGTTTCTGTAGCAGTGTTTAATTTTTACAGGATGGGGTTGCTAGCCTCATGCCCAACCTTTCCTCTTTACCAGCATTATTTCTGGCTCGGTGAGGTAAAGGGGTGCGCCGGCCGGGGGTCGAACCCCGGACCATATGCATGGTCGGCGAGCGTCCTAACCGCTATACCACCGACGCACACTCCTCCGTGTTAACCTCGAACTAACACCGAAATCGTATTTCTTCATTCAGGTTCCACTTGAGGACCTGTCTGATGTGTGGTGTAACTCAACAATCTCCCCAGGATATATCCGCTGTATCTCCATTTCCTTCTGCATATTTGTTGGACGACAGGTTCCTAGTTGGTTAGTTACCTGATACGATTGTTTGTTGATTATCTTTTCTGGTCATCCGATTTCCAGGATGGAGCCAGTGGGAGTAAAAATGTTGATGAAAGTCTAGAGTAAACCATTTCAAATGCTTTCCATAATGCGCTTACCAAATCCGTGGACGATTTAAAAGCACTGGCTAACTTGACATTGGTGGTAAAAATGCGAATCTTGTAGATTATGCCAAGTGAAGCAGATTTCCTTAAGTTCTCAGTGGAACACAGAGCTTCAATGGCACATCTTCATTGAGCTAGATTCTTTATCATCTTTATACTACCTTCATCAGACCATCGCCCAACTCGCCACCCCCAATTCGGCTTCCACTCATATATATATAGTTTTGTGTTTATTTCTCCACGTCCCTAGTGGGACACAGGGCTTCAAGCGGTTATGTTTTCTGGTTCACGTCCAACCTTCCGCCTTTGATGGGCTTACTACCAGCTGATGAAGGTAAAGGTCTGCACTGGATGGGGATCGAACCCCGGATCACATGTATCGTTAGCCAGCATCCTACCGTGGAACCTTTTCTTCGCCATGTGCAAAGCTAAAACTGAAAATTTTACTTTCATAATATATAAATGAAATGCAGTTTAATGGCATAAGTAGTCTCACTTCAAGAAATTTATATCTTAAACACTACAGTTTTTAAAAGCATGTTACATTAAGGATACTTATTAAATAGTACTACACAGGAGCTCTCGAACAACAATAAAGCAAAACAAAGCTAGCACATCACGTGCTACTTGTGTAACGACAGAAGACAAGGGTAAGGCAACAGATTGTGTATTGAGGAAATCAAGAGATATTGATATATTTTTATGTACATTATTATTTGTTATTATTAGCAGAGAAACGGTGTCTACTAATTGGTTGTTTCCTTGCTGAAAGTTATTCTGTATTACTTGTGACCGTCTCCTAGAAAGTTGAGCCATATATCTGCGAATCGTATTTGCACACGTTGAATCTGCTGTGATTGGTTGTTTAGTTCCTCTACTTTAAGCTTTCTTATTGTTTGTCGCATGACCCTGATTCAAGACGTAACAGTGACGTAAATTGCTGTCTACAATTTCGGCCTTCACCCAGCTCTCACCACACTTGAACCCTACGTCTTTCACAGATCCACCATAAGTTTACTCTATTATTTATTTTATTCCTTTACGTTCCCAGTGGAACATAGGGCTTGAAGCTGGAGCTTTGAAGTCTCGGTAGTAGTGATGTTTATTTTTATTTTATTTTTCAAAACCAACCTTCCCTCTCTACCGACTGGGAACCGAACCCCAGACCACATAAGTGGTTAGCCAGCATTCTACCTCAGAATCACTGACGCTTCCATAAGTTTCCTTAATGGAAACTCATAAAAGTATGCATGGTTTCAGCTACACAATAATAACGTATAATAAAATTCTGGGGAAAAAGAAGAAAGGTGAGGTCATTCAGGAAATTTTAATTGATTTCGTACCATATTACTTCAAGTTCACAGTCAGCTATCCTCTTCAAAGCTCATGAACACTGACTGACGTAATGCATTCCACACGGCAGAGATGTAAACAGTTGACTTCAGCTTGTGTTTTCTCCGAATATATTCAAACTAAGTTCCAGTAACTGGGCTACTACTTCGTAGTTCAAATCACACCAAGCATCAACGATGGAAAATTGTAGTTGCATGTACATCAACATTTTGAGGAAATTTAAAATTTCACATCTATAAGGTGTCGGCAACCTGCTTTACTTACTAGGCCACCTGAATTTCTATCTGACACAATGCATCATACTTTGTCTAATGCTTAATTTTTTGAACCATTCCATGTCCATGTCCTTGAGTCGTAAAGTGTACTCAAGCACATTTTTAATTGGCTTTCAGTCAACTAATATACATTTCTTGGAGACGAAAGAAAGACGTCACAAGGGATTAGTTTGTGCTTTAGATAAAACAGCATTGCGTCATTATTATTATTATATCCTTTAATTCCTAGAGAAACATAGGGCTTCAGCCAAACGTCTCCATTGCGTTCGGTTCTCTGCTAGAGTTTTCACCTGGCTCCGCCACGTCTTCCCACATGCTTTCATCTCCTCTTCACATGACCTCCTCCAAGTCACCCTCGCACTGATGACTAACTCGCCGCTTCCTTTTCGGGTTCCACTCGAGCAATGGCTTGTCTAGTGATGTCACTTGATGGTTTCCTTAGAGTATGGCCAATCCATCTTCATTTCTTCCTACCTATTTGTTGCACAGTCGGTTTCTGCTGGGTTCGTTCGCTCCCAGAGATCCCTGTTGCTGATGTTTTCTGGCCGGTCATCTGATCTTGAGCATTGAGCGAAGACGGCTGTCGAAGAAGGCCTGTAGTTTGTTTGAGATGCTCTTTATGACGCGCTGGCCAAGTCTCTGATCCGTATGGTAAGTAGCAATGACTGACTTCACATTGGAGTTGAAAATCCGGATCTTATTTTCATTTTCATGCTGAGTGCTGAGTGATATTGACCTTCACACACAGACTTAAGAGTAGTGAAAGCTTGTCTTGCTTTTCCTATTCTTGCTTTGATATCCTCGTCAGTTCCGCTTATAGTTGAAACGATGCTTCCCAGGTAGGTGGGTTAAGGAGGTTGTTTCTTTTAGGTTCCTCTCATTTATACTGGCTGACTGTTGTCTGTTGTTGTTGCTGCTGCTGCTGTTGGCCATTGCGTCATATGACATACTAAAGATTGGTATTTTAATTAAAGATCGTTTATGAGGAGAAAAGATTATGCGACAAACTGAGTTGAGAATTCTGTAAACTGTGTAAACATTCTGTCCAGAATAAAACCATTTGTATTTTTAGTGGCTGTGGTTCATGACTATAGAATAAAGTAAATTATACAATGCATTTCGACTGTAGATGGATTTTTGAGTATCTAACTCTAATTATGCTATAAATTATTAAGTATCTGCTTAACTGTACTGATATTTCTTTTAATATCTGGGACAATGGAACTGTGAACATAAAGGAAGTAGTTATTACATGAACACAACAATTTGCCCTTTCTTTTATTGCCAGAATCTATCCTTTATCTGTATCCTTTGCGTATCGAGTGGAACATACGGATTCAAGCTTGGGCTTGGAAGTTTCACTAGCACTGTTCTCATTTTTTGCAGGGTCGGGTTGCTATCCTCACTCCAAACCTTCCCTCTTTCCCGGACATGTCACGAGCTAAGCCAGGCTTAGGATTCCTACCCCCTGGGGATCAAACTCTGGACCATGGTATGCATGGTTGGGAAGCACTACCGACGCCTAGAATAGTTATTAATGATACATAAATAATGAACTATGCTATAAACTACTCACCGAGTATTGGGCAGATCGAATCGGTCTAAATACATAATCGCCCTTTCCCTCGCCAGCAGTGTATACATACTGCAGAATGAGTTCAGACCACCCGAGTGAGTGGTATTCAACCACTTGATTGTCAGTTTTTGCGGTATTTAACAGATTGCATGATGTCTGTGATCTGAATAATTTCAATTTCCGTAAGACGCACCGTAGGGAAAATTCACCTTGAATTGTGTAAAGTGTAAATTGTGAATTCGACAAATCATTAACGACAACTAGTGGGAATATCATAGTATTAGCGAGCTTTGTAAGCTCAAGGTAGAGCAAACAAATGTCATTTATTTGGTGGTTGATGACTAGCAGTGGAATCCACGAAAACATGTATTTTATCCTAGATTCGGAACTTGTCATCTGAATGCACTTGCATTCCCCAGTGAGTGATGGCATTCCCACTGAGGCTTGAACCCAGTATCCATAGTTTCAAATGCCAAAGCGTTATCCACTAGACTACCTGGGCGATGATCGTCAGCCACCTCCTGTGCAAGGGATAAATAAATTGTTATTTAATTCTATTTGAAATTTCCTCTTGATTGATTGCAGCAAACTGCTCGACCGACCTTTGTCGACCTTCTTAGTGTAATAACAGATAGAAACATTATGACATCCACTGTTCAGCACAACACATCGTAGGCGAACATTCCTCATATCTACATTTATTTTACACAGTTATGTTATAAAATAAAGTAGCCAAATATTCATATTAAACAAAGAAATATTCTGATGTAGTTGTGTTCTCTGAGCTAGCTGGATAGTTAATTTGCGAAGCTGTCATCGCCCTACTAGGCGACATCTCTCTTCAGCGCATACTTCAATTCATTGGAGTGAGCTTATAGATTTCTCCACGAGTTTATTAATCATCTTTCCTGGTAGATGACCTTGGATGTGATTGGTTGTTTTTGTGTGTTTTCACACCTTCTAGGCGGCTACGTGTAATGGAACTGATTGTTTCTTTGACTTGAACTTTGACCCTTTGTGTGTGTGAGGTTTATTTGTTATCAGTTGATAAATTTTGTCTATCTCGATGTGTCTATTGATTGATGATTCACTGGAATACTAGGCTGGCTTCTAAAAATTCTCCAGCATTCTTGTTGTTTCCTCTGTCTAATATTTGAACGTTGGTTGTCTCAGTCAAATTGATCTTCGCGGTTGTCTATATGCAGTGAGGCGATATGAGGGAGTGGATATCATATCTTTTGATGGCTAGCTTATGTTCGTGGATACGAACACGAAGGGGACATCCACTTTGGCCAATATAGTGTTTTTCGCAGTTGTTACAATTTATTTTGTAGATGATGTTGGTTTTATCTTGGTTGGTTGACATAGAAGTGTCAACCAAAAAACTCATCAACGGAAGAAGATAAAACCAACATCATCTAGGAACTAAAGGATACAATAATAATAATATATAATAATAATGCGCTGAAGAGAGATGTCGCCTAGTAGAGCGAAGAGAGCTTCGCAAATTAACTATCCAGCTAGCTCAGAGAACACAATCACATCAAAATCATCCACCTGAGCTACAAATCTCCTCTATCATATCTAAAGAAATATTTATACGAAAGATGAATTTCGAGATCTATCATCCATTTTTCTCAGAATTCTTTGCATTTTTTTACCTATACATTCTTTCTTATTATGATAGCATGAAGAAACTCAAGAATCACAGTCACTAACTAGTTAAACACATAGTCACAATACTGTCAACATCACAGACAGAACACACACGCACACACATACACATATGCACATGAGGAAAAATTAACTACAAGATCAATCAGTCGCCATATCATCATCATCTACAACCATCTACAGCAATTTCAATCATGTAATCAAACAGAATTCAATGGAATCTTAGAGATTTTCAATTAATTAACAGACTGTAATTACACTTTCCTTTTTCGTATACTATTCATTATTACCTCTTTAATTTTCAATCACTAGATCGTCAAATAATCAATACAAAAGAACAATGAGGAGACCTTTTGAAGACAAGGAATAAATAAACAAATTAATAAATATAATACTCATTAGTACATTAAATTCATTTGAAATTTCTCCAATCGATATGATTACTATTTCCATATAAAACAAAAACGAAAAGTAAAGAGAATTCCATGCTTACAATCCAGTTACTTCGCCACATTTTCCTATTTTTTTCTAAAAAGAAACTAGTGCACATTTCAATAAAAATAACAATCAACCAATCAGTATAATTTTCATTCCTATTTGCTCAATGTTCAATTGTTTCAATTGTTTTAATCATGTATTTGCCTAAACTTTTAATATGTGTAAATTTAAATCAATATGTAAGTAAAGATATTTTTTACAGAACATACAGCTAGATTAAAATTATATATACATATATTGTATTCAGGTTGTTTGTTTGAAGCATTCCTACCCCCCAATTCAACTTTTTATTTCAGATATAGTGTATTCTTCAATTGTTCTTGCTTCGTTATTTGAAATATATATACATATATGCATATATATAAATATATGACTACTTAAATATATTTTTCAGTAGTTTCTTAGCTTAAATTTTGCTTATAAGTATCAAAAAGCTGCTAAGGTATTAAAATCGCCAAATGGCTTACAGAGGTCCTTACGCCTGTAAGAGACTCATTATCAAATCATTCTGTAAAAAGTCCATTTGATATTACATAAACACTAGACACCTTGAACATTAAGGAAAAGGTTATGTGTTCAATTGACATAGAATCTTTATTCACCAATGTTCCCCTTCATGAAACTGTTGATTTCATTTGCGATTACATTACAAGCAATGGGATAAACTTACCTATTCCTGTAACTTACATCAGAGACATCATCTTAATGTGTACAGAAAATATTAGATTCACCTTCCAAGAAAAGGCATACAAACAAATCGATGGTGTTGCGATGGGGAGCCCTCTGAGGCCCTGTAAGCAGATATATTCATGTCGAAATTAGAGAAACAAATGTAAGGTATGCTTGGAGAATTTATGCTGTATAAACGTTATGCAGATGATACTCTCATTATTGGTAATAATAATAAATCTACTGAAAACTTTATTACTCTATTTAATCATATTCATCCAAATATTCGAGTGACTTCCGAACAAGAATCGAATAACAAACTCGGGTTCCTGGATATTACTATGAGTAGGAGAGATGATGGAACGATTCAGCGATCAATTATTTGTAAATAGATATGGAGTGGACAATATCTTCTTTCCACCAGTCTTGTTCCTATCCAGTATAAACGTTCCCTAGTGAAATGTTTGTTCTCAACGCCCGAAAAATCTGCACGAGTGACACATTGATGGATGAGCTTCGACATATAAATTCAGTTTTCTCAGCTAATGGTTATCCAGAAAACTTCATCAATTGTCACGGTAAGGATATACCATGTCTTGAAAAGGCAGCTTCTGTACCAAAGAAAGCTATCTTTATTAACCTACCATTCAAAGGCGACCAGATTATGCAGTTGACAGCTCAAAGACTTCGGTCAACCATCAAACGCACATTCTACGCCGCCACATCTCTTTTTCTCACTTGCCGAACATTTTCGATCCCTGTACCTACCTACGATTAAAGGACGAAATTCTGTGGACTCTACTTCAAACTATATCTACAAGTTCACCTGCAGTTGAGGTGACACCTATGTAGGTAGAACTAACAGAATGTTCCAATGTAGTCGTCAAAAAGAACATGTTCCAAAATGGCTACTAAATCATATCGAAAATCCTAACGTGATTAATCTTAATAGAAATCCAGCATCATTCATTGCAAAACACTTATTAATGTGTCAGGCCACAAAATCAATATTAAATATTGACTGTTTCACAATTATCTCATCACATAACTCTAATTCACGTTTGGTTATTGAAGGTGATGGAAGCACCTTGAGGGATTAATCACATACAGTCTAAACTGTGTGTACAAAAATCAATAGACTTCAATCTCCGCCTACCATGAACTGACTACTTAACCTATCTGAATATGATTGGTCATTAGTATGCACTTTTGTTCTTTTAATTTAACTGAGTAATCTTCATGAACTTTATTTTATTCATTGTTAACCATGTTAGTTGTGAAGCGGTTGTAAAGAAACTACGAAATGACGATATCATCTCGCGAAATTTGTCTTCTTAATGCCTTCCTTATACGAATTTATCAAAGGGACTAATTCTTTAGTCAAGTCTGCCGGCTTAAAAGAAACCTCCACACTTAAGTCTTGCTTCTTCAGATTAAGCCGGTTAGTGTGAGCCTTTAGAAAGCGGAGTATGTTACTGACTTTACACTGATGGTTCCTCAGTGATTCTTCTTATCTGATGTATTGTTTTTATAGGGATTTTGTTTGACTGTATGGAGGATTTCATCATGAGCTGATATCAGTTAGAGAACGACTGGAAAACCTGTCCATATGTGATATGGTGAAAATATTCATTCAGACATATATAAAACACAAAATAATTGAGCAAAGAATATCCTTTTCGATAAATTCCTCTTCTGGCTCTACAATTATATGTGCATGTTTATATACATAGAATGAGTGAAACGGGAGTAAAAGGCAAACTACCTAATTTCGCCTGTTCTATGTGTAACCACCGATTTAACTTCTCCTATGGAGCCAGTTACATAGGCCATACAATTAGGCGTATTTCTCGTCGGAGATCCGAACATCACCCTGTGTGGTTAAGCAAAAAACAAACAAAATCTATTCACATAGCGCTATTCTATCTCATCTTGTGGATTCAGAACACAACATTGACGTTAACCATGCTTCCAGGGTCATTTACCACATACCAACGAATCTCGATTTCGCCCTAAGAGTTCGTTTACTAACTATTGCTGGGGCCGTTGGGATCCACATTAAGAAGCCTAATTGGTGCATTCAAAATAAGTTAGTTCAGACATTATCCCTACCTTGGCCATCTAGGTTTGAATGATCTTGAAATTTTGTGGAATTTTCTTAGTTCTAGTTGATATTCTATTTGCTATTATATCTTTATTATTACTAGTATAATTTAAGCAACTTTAATGAACTGTAATTCCATTGTGATTTTACTTTACAAATCGATATTATTTAAAATCGCCAATATTGTTATTGAATGAACTAGTGTGATTAACAAAATCAGCGTTGTTTAACTAACATCAAATCAATGATAATAATATCAATGGATTACAGTCCGATAGCACCAACATAGCAATACACTGAATATCAGAGAAATTGGGAAAAGTAAAAATGCAGAATTCATGAGTTTCTAGTCTCCACTGAAGGCTGGCCAGTGCATTAGTAGGGGCTGGACTTGCTTCTTTTGCACACAGAGCACTGGTTGTTTAAGGCGAATTGCCATAGCCTCTGCTGTTTGGAGCATGCGGTGCTTCAATGATTTTGGCAATTTATTTGGCACTTGGTAGGTAGATGATAGAAAAGAATTCTTCCACGCTGGCTTTGTGGTAGGTTTGTACCAGACGATTCAATATTGAACTGTTAATGGTTGTCACCACACTTTTATTTAGCCATACAGGGAGATGTTCTCGAGTGGGCACGAAAAATCAAGTTCCTAGAGCAACAGCCTATATAACTCGCTCCACCACAAGCGAAGTTGAATTGGCAGATACAATTTGAAGTGGCTAGCTAGTCTAGCTACTTCATCTTTGATTCGAGGAATCACCATCGGTCATTTGACCTTAGCTGTTGTTGTTTTTTCAGATTTCTTATCTTATTCGGGTCAACTAATCTAAATTTTGCTAGGTTCTTGTTCTGCTGCGCTAGTCTGACTGACACCGTTCTATTACTTTGACCAGATAGTCATTGCAGGGAATTAGATAAACTAAATTGTTTTGTTTAATCGGCTCAGCAGGATCCTTTAATTGACATAATTAGTTTCTAAGTGAGATTTTGGGGGTTTGAATTCCAGCTTTATTCTGACTTTGTTAGGCATTCGTCATAAAGTTTCACAAGTCCCTTCTTTGTATGAATGTACTACTGATGACTCAAATTCCCTATTGTTAGTGATGTCATCTTTCTGTGTATGTTTGTCACATATGTCGTCCTTATTATCATTATTTAAACTATGCGAATTTTTTTTAATTTCAGGTGTTAGATTTCATCAAGAGCCAATATCATCTACAGAGATGATTGGCAGATCACTAGACAGCTGTCGCGTCCTATTTTTTGAGATTCCTTAATAATGCACACCCACCACCCCACCAGGGATCAAACCTGGTACTTTCAGGTTACAAGACCGAGCTCGTTGATCACTCAGCCACTTCGGCCAGAACTAAATGACCCATGAATGCTAACTTTGGTCTCTCCTTCAACCAATGCCTTCCATGAGTGTCCACTCCATCTTGAATTGGTGGCTTGTAATAGTCACAGCTATTCACTGCACCTTCAGGACATCCCTCCTATAGACATTGACGAATTATTATTATTATTATTGCTTCCTAGTTCCTAGTGGAACGTAGGGCTTCGATTGCACGTCTCCACTTGCTTCTATCTTCTGCTGTACTTTTCACCCGCATCCATGTTAGTCCATATTGTTTCAACTCCTCTTCACACAATCCCCTCCACGTCACCCTCGCACTAACGTCCCACTAGCCGATTCCCTTTCGGGTTCCACTCGAGTGATGGCCTGATGCGCGCGCGATGTCACCCAGTGGCCTCGTCACCTAGTGTCCAATCCATCTCCACTTTCTCCTGCATATTTGTTGGTTGGCGATTGGTTCTTGTTTGGTTTGTCCCCATAGTTTCCCATTGTTGGTGATTCTTTCCGGCCATCTGATCTTCAGTATAGATCCAGCGAAGACAGTTGTTGATAAGGGTCTGCAACCTATTGGAAATATTCTTTGTGACTCTCCAAGTTTCTGATCCGTATTGTATTGAAAATCCGACTGAATTTTGTTGTTGATGTTGGCTGAGTGACGAAGATTTCCAGATTGATTTCAGGTTGATGAATCTGTTTCTCGCCTTCCCGATTCTCGC